GAGAGATTCAAATATCGCCCAGCTGATTATCAGAGCATCCATTCTGGTGGTGCTAATCGGCAGGGCTCGACAAATCAGTGAATCTACTTGCCTGTGGCAAGTAGATTTCAGTCTTGCGCATGAGCAGTGCGGGACTGGCGAGTAGATTTTGCCGCGGTTTGTCAAGCCCTGCTAATCGGCACATGCCTCAGTGCACATAACAGTTATTCTGCACATGGATTGAAAGATCTGCACATGGATGGTAAAGATTAGAGGGAATATTTCTCACTACTCAAATAATTAAATTAAAGCATGAGAGAAATAAAAATTATGAAATGGGATGTCAGAGTGATGCAATGATGTCACTCTGTCATCCCACAGGAAAAACTTTTGTATATATATATATATAGATAGATAGATACATTGCAGGAAGCATCAAGAAGCAGCAATCGCAACAATACAATATTCAGGGAGTGACTGTGAAAGAGACAATATGTGTGTGTGACAGAAAAAAGTGTGTATGTTTGTGAGACAGAGACACATGGTGTGTGTGTGAGACACAGTGTGTACATGTGAGAGAGAGAGAGATGCACTCTGTGTGTGAGAGGGACATACTGTATGTATATGAGACTCACACACTCTGTATCTATGTGGGAGTGTGGGGGTGTGAGTGAAGAGTGAGGAGGGAGTGATGCCCCTTTCAGTAGATTTGCACTCACCCGTCTGAAACCTGCTCGTTCCAGCACAGTAGCAGCCACCAGCAGGCTCAGTTCCACATTCCACTCCTGAGCCCTGTTGTGCCTGCCCAGCAGAGATGGGGTATAGGTGGAGAAACACAACCAGACACCAGGGACAGAGCACAGGATGGGGCTGCAGTCCAGGCACCAGTGGCCTTTCACACTCCTAGGGAGCTTCTGGTGCTCATGTCCAGCTTCCCCAGTTGTGGAAGTCCCATGACACCCATAATACGCAAAATTACAGACTAGGGAGATGTGACCGGGAAGGTTACTTTGTGATTTCAGGATGAGTTCAATCACAATAGTTTTTAATGTTCCCATAACTAGGTCTTATTGCTCTATGATCTTTTGTGGGTGACATGCAATAGGCACTTGCTGAAGTTCAACCAGTTACAGATTTCTGTGAGTAATTAATTTTTGAAATTCCTTCAATTAAAAAAAAAGATCTGCCCACTCTGTAAATTATCATGAAGAGATGCCATGAAGACAGCAAAACTCAGTTTATCCTAATCTCAGCTGATAGAGGGTTCCAGAGCGAGGGGTCTTCTCTACACAATGTTTCTGGAAGCTTCCCTTTGGGTAAGGGTTCCATTTCATTGCTCTTGTAGGATACTGATGCTTTGACAGGCCCCTCAAAGCAATCTCTGAGATACAGTGAACATTTAAAAAATGTGGACTAGGCTCCTCAAGTCAATCACAAATCAGGAGTCACCACAGACTTATGAGGTTTTCGTGTGATTTTGTCTTTTAGAACCGATGATACTGCTATAAGGTTGAAATGACAAACTCTCTGTTGATGCATACCTAGGTCAATACTAAGCAGTTTAGTGACACATGAAGATTAATCTCTGCACTACCCAAGTTCCAAGATATCCATGTGTCAGCAGTGCAGGAAGAGAGAGGGTTTATATGAGTCTGTGTTCAATTAAAGTGCTGCCCAGGCCCTTGCACACAGCAGTATTCTGCCATTCAACTGGTTGTCGTTGTTTGAAAAAGATGGCAACTCTCAGAGTCCCTATAGCCACCCATTGCAATGAGCAGAAAGTAATTTGCTGTTCTTCCAGCATTGCAGGCAGATATACATTCTTTTAAAGGTTGGGCTGTTAGCCATTTACAGATTTATGCTTCTTATTCACACTGTGTATCTTGAAGGAGTGGCTGGTTTATGATGTACAATTTGTTGTTCCAGCTCTACCCTACTGATAAAGGTTGAATTTTGAATTGAATGTGTTTACAAAGGAATTTGGATTTCAAGCTGCACCTAGCAGGTGAAAAGTTGAACTTAAGGTATAGATATTTGCTAACTATGTCACTGTGAGATACGCTAGCTATAAAAAGCACTTCAGAATCAGTTCAGTCTCTATTCTCTACAAGAGAGCCAGAGGCTATTCACACAAAGAAGGAATCCAGAATCCAGAAGCAAAGATGTCTGAACTGGAAATTGCAATGGGAATGATCATTGATGTCTTTGACAAGTATTCTGGGGCTGAAGGCAACAAGCGAACCCTCACCAAAGGAGAACTAAAGACCCTTCTGGAAAAAGAGTTACCCAACTTCCTCTCGGTAAAGTGATGGTTCAGTATAGACTTGTAATAGACTTAAAGCAATATAGAGAGAAACACGTTTGGTGCTTTGTGCAGGGAATTGGTTGCAGAAATCATTAGCAATAAGGGAAGCCATTTGGTACCTTTTCTTCTGCATCATGTGACATCATGGTGTTGAAAGTGCAGGCACATCACAGAACTGAATGTGGCAGTCAGGGTTACTCCTTATTGTCAGCTTTTCTGTATGTCTCATTTATCACTCTCTAGTTTTCAGGGCAATTGCATTTAAACAGAATACAGTATTTACTTTTTCAGAAGCCATTTGTTCCTGCTGTTTGCTCTATTTCAGAATTTGTAATTTTATAAGGTGTCATAATTAACTGCTGTAAAAAAAGATTGTTATGTTAACAATTGAATATTATGACATCATATGGGGAGTTTCCTGGTCTAGGCTTTTATAACACACTTCTTACTGTGAGGTGTGACCATGTATGGTATATAAACAGCAGTAGGATAGAGTAGATGAACTTGGAAGAAACTGATTATAAAGTGTCCTCCTAATAACAAATAAAGGGAAAGAACTAATGAAAATGATTAATAGAACAGCATTGTTAAATAATCATAATGTGCTTTTAACTGTTTTCCATGTATATCAATCTCTGTTTCTCTAGACATGTATTCCATGCTCTGCAGTGTGGTACCATGAGATACTTGCCATTCTTAAAAACCTACTATGTTGCATATTTTCTTGAAAATAATAATATTAGAGTTGTAGGGAGGGTTATGTAGAATGATTTTCCAGTTAAAAACACATTTTTCAGAAAACTGAAATTTCCCATGAGAAAATTTCAGTTTTGATTTTAAAAAAATCAATTTTTAATTGAGAAAATCAAAATGACAATTTGCCTGCTGCCCAGTGCAAGGCTCCTGTCTGACAAATGCTTTCCAGAAGGGCTATAGAGGCTGAACTCCCTTTCTTCTCCTCCAGGCTATCTGCACCAGATATAGAGAGCACTGGCCTTCAGCCACCCCACCTTCTCCCCAGGTCTAGAACCAGAAAAACAGAAGGCTGGATAACTCTGCCTCCACACCTCCCTGTCTCAGGGCCAAAAGGCTGGAAAGGCTCTTGTCAATTTCACTTTCAAAATGAAGCTTTTTGTTCCAACCTAGGCACAATAGCGGAGATACCCATTTTCTGGCAAGCGCCAAATAATAAGTCTTAAACTTGGCCATAGCCACTAATAATCCATTTCAAAAATTTGTGGCTTGACTTGCATTTAATTGTGTACATATATTTTTTGACTGTTATCCAGGGTTGTTTTTATCAGAACTTAATTCAGTAAAGCAAAATCATGGTTTCAGATACAAACACCTGGTTCTCACTGAGCTGAAACAGTTATGCATGCATTTGTGAGGGAAGAACTTGACCCATTAGGTCAAGCTGTTGTAATATGGAAGCATGCCTGTACCTGTGGCAAGAATCATTGTATCGTTTTGAAGATTTTTGAAGTTTTGAAGCAGCATAAAGAAGGCTAAACATGTTTTACTAAAATGGACTGAATACCTGCTGAATAAACTTGCCAGCTGTCTACACTGGCCACTTGAATTTCTGCAAAAGCACTGACTTCCTACTATAAGAAATCAGTGCTTTTTGCGGAAATACTATGCTGTTCCCATTTGGGCAAAAGTCCCTTTTGCGCAAAACTTTTGTGCAAAAGGGCCAGAGTAGACAGCTGAGATTTGTTTTCCGCAAAAAAGCCCCGATCGCGAAAATGGCGATCGGGGCTTTTTTGTGGAAAAGCACGTCTAGATTGGCCACGGACGCTTTTCCGCAAAAAGTGCTTTTGCGGAAAAGCGTCCGTGCCAATCTAGATGCTCTGTTTCGAAAATGCTTTTAACGGAAAACTTTTCCGTTAAAAGCATTTCCGGAAAATCATTCCAGACTAGACGTAACCCAGAAGAAAACATACAAAAATTCACAAAAATCTTCCTTGCAAATTAACAAAGGTTAAAATCACAGCTCTTAATGTGCGTTAGGCTTCCCAGGATATAAACACAAAAGTTCACCTTCACTTCCCAATATTGGTTTTCCTTATTCACTGCACATCACTTTGATTTACTTGGCTGGAAGTGATAATAACATTAATTCTTGATTGTTTCCTTTTCTTTTACATCACTACAAATTCCAGAAAAGTGATGGGAACAAAGTCTGCTCTCACACATCCTAGTGCCTCACAGGAGTTACTTTTGTTTGCCTAAGTATAAACCCTTTCCCATTAATTACCAAGGCGTAGGGCAAAATGTTCAAAAAGTTACTTCCATTTTGTGCACCTCCAGCTCTGAACTTCCAAACAACTGTGCATGCATTCTTAGAGCACTAAGATCTGTATGTGATATGCAGTGATCACTTAGGGCATCAGCTACTTGCAAGAGAGCTATTTTATTGTGTACATCTACACATCAAATTAAGGCGTAAGTGTAGCACAGGTAGGCACATCCATGGTAGCTTTAATCTAGCATGGGTAATCAGAGTAATGAAGATGCGATGGCATGAACTTCAGTGCAGGCTAGCTGCCCCAGTACAACCTGCCAGAGACCCTGGACACAGACACGGGTCCACAAATAATTAATTGAATAATTGAAAATACACTCATTTATAAAAATACCTAAATCTGTTTATGGAAAAGAAAAAGGAATAAAATTTATGTCATATATTGTTCAGCCAGAACTAGTCACATACCTGAATTTGTAGTTGAGTTTTTGGCATAGCTCAGGTTATAATTCCTCGTTTAAAAAATAACATGAATCAGTGAAAAATAAAATAATGGTGACTGAATTAATTAGACTCTGACTCTGCAAACCCTTCAGAATTCAACAAAGGTAAGTATTCACCATATAACTGCTCAATATTTACATATTTTTTGTATTTGTATAAAATCTAGCTTCAGCAAAACCATGGTACTTTAAAAACAACAAACAGTCTAGCAGCACCTTAAAGACTAACAAAACATGTAGATGGTATCACGAGCTTTTATGGGTGAAGTGGGTTGTGCTCATGAAAGCTCATAATACCATCTACATGTTTTGTTCGTCTTTAAGGTGCTGTTAGACTCTTTGTTGTTTTTTAATTTTTTCCAGTTACAGACTAACTTGGCTACCCTCTAAAGCTTTTGAACATAGTATTTTAGTTAATTATATTTTATAGGTCTGTACTGCCATCCTCTGTTTATTATAAAAATTGCATCTTCTATGTTCATTGGAAACAACTATCATCAGGGCTCCAGATTAGAGCTGATTTTTTTTTTCAGTCAAAAATTCATATTTGGCAAAATCAAAATGTCTCATGAATTTGTGTTGATTTAGCTCCACGGTAAATGTTATAAAAATCAGAAAAACTCAAAACATTTCAATATTTTCTAATCATTTTTTCTTGCATTTTATTTTAAATATTTAAAACATTTTAGAATGGATAAAATTAAAATAAAGCATTTCAATTTTGCTTTAACCTAACCATATTTTTCATACTTTTTGAAATTGTCAGCATACCAGTGCGTCCATTATTCACCCAGCTCTACTCAAGCTAAAAGACCTGTTGAAAGTCTTTTCAAAAAATTACATTCTGAAAATAAGTTATTTGGGCCTGGAAATTGTCATGTTTAATCTCAGTCCAAAGATGAATTGTTGTGGACAGTTTGAAATAAGTTGGTCAATTGTAATTATGATAGACTGAAAACAAAAGGACATGACCAGGACACTATTTTTTCATCCCATAACTCAAAATTAGCTTTACTAATGCTTTAAAATCTGCCTTATTTATGCACAGTGCTTCTGGCTAACATGTTCAAGTCACTAAGATCAACTGGAACACTCAAGATGAAAATCCCAAAATGTTCACATGAGAGGCTGCACACAGGATGTTCTCTGTGAAGAGACCTTATTTCAATGCTTCCACTCTTGATGGAACAGAGCTTGTTCTTTGACCTTCTAGTATATTTAAAATACATGTATTTCATTAAGGTTCTATTTATTTATTTATGTTGAGGGAGTAGGCTGCATAAGGATTTTTTTTTAAATTCAGAGGGGAAGTGTAGGAGGAAGAAAGAGCCTGAAGCATGGACCTGGTGCTTGAACAAAAGTAAGCAAGAGTAATAGACAGGCCATGTCAAAAGCAGATATTTACCTGTAAGTCAATGTCTCTTGGCACTAGAACTGCTAGCACTGATAGAAGCACATGAAGTATGTAAATACATTCCACCAGGACTGTACAGAGACACCCAACTGAGTACATGGTAAAATAGTTTGAAACAACAAGAGTGAAAGCATAACAAAAGGTAGTGAATAGGAATGCTTTGGAGCAGTGTTTCTTAAATTGTGTTCCGTGGCACACCGGTGTGCCACGAGGCAGTCAGAGGTGTGCCCCGGAGAACAACAGAATTCAAAATGGCCACCAAAAAAATCCTTGGTGTTCCTCATTAAAAAAAAACTATTGGTTGGTGTTCCTCATTCTTAAAAAGTTTAAGAAACACCACTTTGGAGAAAAGTACAAGGAGAGGTACCAATTGTGTCATTAGTGCATAAAATAATATGTGCAATGGGTATCATAGATAGTTAATTTCTATCTATAAATATTGGGGTACCTTGATTTAATTATTTGGCCAGTTTAGGGGGGCTTAGTGAAATCCATACTATCGATTGAGCCTTGTCCATTGTCCCAGGTACAAATACATAGGGGCTCAAAGGTCATCTGGCTACCGACACCTATTAATGTACTCCATTCGACAATAAACCTGACTCAGGTGTCTTTGTATCTTATTTGAGACTGTGGTCTTTGGGGGCTCTTGTGAAGTCTATTATGCTAGCTACCTGCACAAAGCTGGCATGATATATATTGGGAGCATATAAAAATGCACACAGCCAAATGTTTATCATCACTGATGAAGCAGATCTGTCAGGACACCACACCAGTGAATCTTGAATTTATTATATTGCCATCTTGAACTACTACAGGAAGATTTTAGCTGGGGTTGGAATATCTAGTTAAATATCTTTAGCATTATGCAAGTTTGATCTTTAAACAAACGCAAGTAGAGTACATGCACCTATAAATTTATTGATAGCTACAGGATTTATTTATTCTTTCCATGTATATAAATTTAAGGACAAGATTTGGGTCACACGCCTTCTAAATGACTCTGTCTGTCTCTGTCTCTCTCCTGCTCCAAGGCATTGTCCTTAATGAGAGGAGAATTTAGGCCCCATACTCTTCCAAATATTGTTCTGTTTTCTCCAACAAGATCGACAAGTTACACCATTATCCTGATTAAATTATTGAGCCTTGCATTAGCATTCACATAACACCTGTTTCACAGTTCCACATATCTTACTATGAGCTAGTGTAATGACTCAGCAGAAAAAAAGCCTTGGGGAAATCAACAAGGATTTTTTTTTCCTGAAGGGATATCTATAACCAGAAATCAAAACAAGTTAACTGAAGCAAAACACAATAATAGAAAATATGTTAACTCTAGATTTAGCCAAATCCGATATCAATTAAATTTGTGAAGCCCTTTTCTTCACCCCCGGCCCCACATATTACTCCTTCTGCCTCCCAGGCAACCCATCGGTGGTTAGTTAGTCTCTTAACCACCTGTGGAAAGAAACTGAACTGAAGTTAACACTTTCGTAACTGGGGACCAGGTGGTGCCCCTATGTTCAACACACACTTGTACTAAGATATTTGGATGCACATTCCATTATGTCTGTTGTTCAAGTTATTTATAATTTTGCTGCTGCTTTTAGGGCCTCAGAATAAATTGCATGTCTCACTATGGACTGCTTCTTTTCTCTTTTAGTCGGTGAAAGATAAGGAAATTGTTGACAAACTCTTCAAGGGTCTGGATGAAAATGGAGATTCTGAAGTAGACTTCAATGAATTTGTCATCTTTGTGGCAACCATGACTTGCTGCTGTCATAAATATTTTGAGCAGAAAGGATCCAAATGACTGGAAAAGAGCTCATAAGAAACTGGTCTTTTTCTGTATTCCATATACTATGTTATTGCTAGCTTTATTTGCTCCATGTACTGAAATACTGTTTAATCATACTTTGTTTACTACTTCATGTCTTGCATGTTAAGTTTCTCCTCCTTCATATAAAATACTAGCTTTAGCATTCTTGTTGTGTATTTCTCTCTCTCTCTCTCGGAAAAAAATGTGGTTTATACCTCTTCATTTTTAAAACTCTGTTCTTATTCATAATGGAGAACTTCATCCTAGAACTCCCTAAGGAAAACAGCTGATGGAGGTATAGTGCTCTGATTGTGTCAGTCCACTGAGCCTCAGTTGGTCGAGGCTTTCCCTCTACGGGATTTTAGAGTAAGGCCTCATCTGCATACACAAAATGTATCTCGTTAGCACTATCAGTATTGTTAAGGTCTAATAGCTACAACCTCTTTAGAGTAGATGTGCTTATATCATTTGAAAGGTGCCTTTATGACAGTATGTCTCCATAATAGGGATCGCATGGTATACATATGTAATATGCATTGGTAAAAAAGCCTTGGGTAGACCAGGCCCAAATTACAGTGTCTGTTGCTTCTCCAACAACTGATGGAAGCACTTAGGTGTAGGGATTCAAAGTGCTAATCAAGTTGGGGGAAAGAACGTGTGCAACTTCTCTTGTTTGAACACTTATACTGTGAACGTCCTTAGGTTCCCAAACACTTTACAAAATGAATTTATCCTCACTGCTCTTCTGAGAGGTATTATCGTTGTTTGACACAAGAGAAAACAAAGGGGCAGTGGAATTAGTTCATGTTTTCCTAAATACATGTTCAATATGAGGGCATTGTGTATGTAGAATCACTGTGACCACAGTGCAACTGAAAATATACACATGCAGTATTGTGAAATTCTGGTCGAATGTCACACAGGAAGTCAGTGGCAGAGCCAGAAGTAGGACCCAGATCATTTAAGTTTAAGCCTGTGCTTTAACTACAAGACAATCATTTTCCTGACAAGTCCTGTTAGGGTGAGAATTGTCTGGCCTAGGTTGTGTATCTTGAAGTAGGACTAAATCCTACTTCAGCACTAATTGCACCTGTGCTAACCACAGCAATTCTGAAGAAAAGCTGGATGGTTGGTATGTTAATTTGTATAGCAACTCTCAAAGCATCAGCTTTGAGCAGAAAAGGGAAGGGGCACAACATTATTTTCTGGCCACATTGTAAGTCTGACATTCTTCCTTTTGCCTGGCCATCTTCTGCCCCCTCAAGCAGAGCTCACGTTGCCTTCAACTCTGAACCTAGAGCTTGTCTACATGGTGAAGGAATTAGGGTGGTCATCTGATTAGTTTTTAACCATCTTGGTCCATTTTTTTTACTGCCTGGACAGTTGCCAGTGAAGATTTGCCAGGTTATTTTTGCTCTCTCCCTGCTCCCCAGCACTAGGAGTGAAAGGGGAGGAAATACTCAGCAAAGACTTCCCTGGGCGTGGCTCTTTAAAACCAAAGCCTTCCCTGGGGCACTGGACTGTTTCCCCCTTCTTCCCAGTAAGCTCCAGGGTCAGCTGGATTCTCTCTTGCCATCTTTATTATGGGGCCACCTTCCTTGCTGGTTGCTTGCAGATTTTACAGGACCTGGAGCTGCCTTTCTCTCCTGCTACACAAGAGCCTGGAGAGCAGTGACGGGTGGGAAAAGTTACAGTCTCTCTGCCACCTACCACTTGCATCACTGCTGTCATGAGGTACGGAAAACAGGCCGGGGTATGGTTTTCTGTACATCTGAGATCCAGCCCTAGCAATGCTCACAACGGGGGAGGGGAAGGCAAAGGGAGTGGAGGGTGTGGTTTCTAAGGTGCACTAATGTATTGCACATAAAGAGGACTGTGCAGACCGTACTGGTGCACACTAATGATCCCCTATTGTGTATTATGCTCTAAAGCTGCTTTTCTGTCACTCCTCATATTCTAATGAAATACTGTTGT